TAAATGAGACAGTTAGATAGATTTGATGTGAAACAGACACAAGATGGGGCCCTGAAAATGACGGAATATGAATATGGGAAAGAGGAAAGAAAATGTAGGGATGCGTTTGTGGGAAGCCAGGTCGCTGTATAGAGAGTGCCCTGGTTTCAGGAGCTCTGCTACAATGGCGCCGAAAGGGTTAAAGTGTTCACAATGCTTTGGAAAATAACAGTTATTCAACAAAGACATCAACTGTCGCTCCAAGTAAATGCATCGAATAGGTTGATGTATAACTCAAAATAGTTCAAAAAGGTCTCCAAGAAATATATCAATAACAGAAGGACTCCCAAAGTTCTAAAACTAGAATTCGCAGAGCACTCATTTTGACAGTTCCCTTTCAGATCCGTGGAGTTCCAAAACAAATCTAGAAAATGTATTTAGTATCCACCAGTTTTATTCAAAGTGAGTGATTTATAAGTTTATATCCATATGTGGCCAAACTGCAAAAGCCAGATCCTATCAGACCTCTGAAGATAAGCTGGGCAGGGCCTGGTTAGTACTGCGATGGGAGACCTGTGTGTGTGTGTCTTGTGTGCATTCAGTGAGTAATATATAGTATGTTATTTCTGTTGTCATCCGCTGCGCAGCCGGTTCCTGTTGGTGCAGACTTCCCGCTGCTGCTGCTGCAATCAGAGGCGTCCCGTGCCAACAGGCAAGGAAGGCAGCTGCCTGGGGCCCCCAAACCAGTAGGGGGCCCCTGAGGACTTGTACAGGCTACAGCAACTACCTGTAGTGACTTTTCGTCTGATGCTAAACTTGCCACGTTCTTCATTGACAGCGCTCGCAATCCGGCGCCCGGGGTTCAAATCCGAGCGCGAACAGTATTTTGGATTAGACTATACATTATATTATAGACAGAATACTCAAGAACGGTAGAAAGTAAAAACAAGCCGTTTTTTGCAGATTAAAGCTAAGACCCTAATCCTTAACTTAAACTTTATAAACTCTGAGGGCCAAATGAAAGAATAGATTTTGTAGGATTAATACACATTGGTAGTTTTTGTAAGTAATTATAACATGAGTGTAGTGAACAAGCTTATAAAAAGACATGCTAAATTATTTCTCTTTATTGTTAAAAATAAGATATTATCTACATTTAATTTATATTTATGTAAACAAGTAATAGATATTGCATTTTACCTTATTTATAAATATATATGTATACCTACTGTAATATAAACCATTTTATGTGGTCGGTATTGGGGCCCCCGAGGACTCTGTTGCCTGGGGCCCCGGGGTACCCTTGGAACGCCTCTGGCTGCAATAACAAGGATCCATTTAGTCTGAGCCCGAGTCTCTCCATCACTCGTCCTTGTGGGTGATTAGAACGCTCCCGGCTCGTCTTGTCCACGGACTCATTCATCACACGGCGAGAGAGCGGCTCTAAACATACACTGCAAAAGATGACAAAATTAAAGACAAAAAAATGCTCAAATTTGGCTAAATGTATCTAAATTTGAGCACATTTTGACTGCCTTAAAACAAGATTTTCCAGTGGAACAAGAAAAATTGTCTTGTTTTAAAAAGATACAAGATATTTTTCTCTTGGAATGAGAAAATAAAGCAATAGTTCTTCAATCAAGTCAAAATTGCTTGTCTCATTGGCAAATCTCATTTTAAGACAGTCAGAATGAAGTTAAAGTAGTACTAGAATTTAATATGCTGCTATCCAGAATATATAACTACAATATGTGTTTATAATATTTCGGGTGTTCATTTTGATATGTTCAGATGAATTATGTTAAAAAAAACAGCTTTGAAGTGGCACCTTTTCACTTCCGCATAGAAACGCTAGGGGGCGCCAAAATGGCGGCGATGACGTAGGAGAAGGACCTCTCACAGCAGCAGCAGCAGTCTGGGCTGAATCTGTAGGAGGTTTCACTGTCATCTGAACAACGTATAAACATATTTTCATCAGTTTGTACATAATAGTGCGCAACTCTTTTAACCTTTTAGCCTTATTTGTGAGATTCAAGCTAATTAGTGTTGGGCAAGTTAGCTAACTCTACTTGATATCATAAAACATGCTAACAAGGCTAATATTCGTGTTTACATTATGCCAGTCTCACTTTGGTTGCCTTAGATTTATTTACCACAATGTACATTGTAATATCCATAAATGCTAATCAAAATAACTTGAATACTTTTATGAACAAAAAGCTGCAGAAGTTGAAAACATAGACTACATGTGATGCAATCATTGATAAAAATGCTAATTAAACCGTTAATAGGTGTTAGCATTTTTGAATATTACAATGTACATTGTGGTAAATAAATCTAAGGCAACCAAAGTGAGACTGGCATAATGTAAAAACGAATATTAGCCTTGTTAGCATGTTTTATGATATCAAGTAGAGTTAGCTAACGTGCCCAACACTAATTAGCTTGAATCTCACAAATAAGGCTAAAAGGTTAAAAGAGTTGCGCACTATTATGTACAAACTGATGAAAATATGTTTATACCTTGTTCAGATGACAGTGAAACCTCCTACAGATTCAGGAAAAGTTATTAACTAATCTACTTTTAAATTCAAATATAGCATGTATCATTGGGGCGACTGTGGCCCAGTTGGTAGAGCTTTGGGCTTTCGGCCTGAAGGTCGTGGGTTCGAGCCCAACACAAGACCTACTTCACGACTCCCTCTGATGACTGCTGTGGTTGTGTCCTTGGGCAAGAAAACCCACTTAGCCTGAAGCCCCCGCTGAATAATCAAAGCTCCTGTGGACTCAGCACCTGCAGGAGGATCAGTGAGGGGCTGGTGCTCTGACTGCCACCCCCGACCCAGGCATGGATTAAGGGGAAGAAAATGGATGGATATAGCACATATTTGTTGTTCTGTTGAAGGTAGAGTCAGATGATGGATCCTCAACATGTTTTCAGCAGTATCTGTGTCACACATTATGCTCCAGGTCATGGCAGATAGTTTTATTCATGGTCAGGCGCCTGAATACATCCAGGGCCTGATCCACCCTTATGTCTCCAACAGGAGTCTGAGATCCTCTACTCAGAACCTGTTGATGGTCCCCCGGACTCGTTTCAAAACCAGAGGAGACAGATAGTAAGTAAGTAAGTAAGTTTTTATTTATATACCGCCTTTTCACTGCAGATCTGAGTCTCAAAGCGGTTTACAATTGTTAATTTTGGGCATTTGTCTCTCACTCCACACAGAGATGGGAGCGGGGCCAGTACAGGAGGCGCATGCCAGAACTATTGGACATATTTTTAGTGGTAGGGGAAACCGGAGTACCCGGAGGAAACCTACGCAGACACGGGGAGAACATGCAAACTCCACTCAGAAAGGCCCTGGTCTGACCGGGATTCGAACCCAGGACCTTCTTGCTGAGAGGCCAGAGTGCTATCCACTCAGCCACCGTGCCGCCCAGATCCTTCCAGGCAGTTGCTCCTCGCCTTTGGAATGAGCTTCCTCAGTCTCTGCGTATCGTAGAGACTGTTGATGATTTTAAGTCCCAACTAAAGACACATTTGTTTGGACAGGCGTTCTCGCACCATTGTTCATAGGCCTCTGTGAATGTAAATTGTGTTTTCTGTGTTTGTTTTATCTGACTTGTATGTGTATTTTGTATTTTAATGTGTGAAGCGCTTTGTGACCCTGGTCTGTGAAAGGCGCTATACAAATAAACTTTACTTACTTACTTACTTACACCTGCAGGTGACAACACAGCCTTGATCTTTCAGCAGGGCCTTCAGGCAAAGTGGGGTAAAGTGTCTTGCCCAAGGACACAACGACAGCAGACATCAATGGGAGTCGTGAAGCAGGTCTCGTGGTGGGCTTGAACCCACAACCTTCAGGCTCAAAGGCCAAGGCTCTGAGAATTTGATTTCATATTTATCAACTAGTTTTATTGGGTGAAATAACTTTATCTTTATTGACCCTGAGCTTGGGTTAACATTGACTCAGATTTATATTTTTTAGCCCTGTTTTGAGTGTGTGATGTACCTAAGTATTTTTCTTGTCTCGCCCCGTCACAAACCTTGGATCAGCTTTTTTAGACTGAGAAGATATCGGATTGTATATTAAATCGTTAGATACACTATCGTTTTCTATCGGATATGCAAATATGTGTGAGTTTGTGAAGAAAGGATTCTGTGGTGTGGTGAGTCTGTAGCTGTGTTTTAGCAGAGACAGGAAATGGCCTTAACAACTATAATATTGTATAATTCAAAACATAGAGAGAAATGAAGTCACTCCCATAGTCCTTTCTGCCTCTGGTGCACACTGGGGCAGTCTTGCACAGTTGGTCTAATGTGGTTTTACTGCAAATGGCAAATAAATACTTGAAGCTTCTATGGCCATTTCATAATTTAATCAGTCACAATGAAAAGGAAGAAAGGTATTGATTATTTGATGGAGTTGAGAGAGATTGGCCTGAGGCTGCCGTCTGTAGGGGGCAGTGTGGAGCACGACACATTCAGAATTCAGTGAGTCATGGTTCTGCTTTCAACACTGACCGATGCCGTTTTACAGTAAATACACATACACACAAACTTAAACACACAAATACATATACAATACATTTTTCTTATCTAAAATGCTGTATATGAAACATTATATGTGTTTATTATTCAATATCTATATTTAGGCACTGGACAGGGTTTTATTAATATTATATCTATAATTATTCACTTTGTCCATTGATTCATTTTCAATTGCAACAGCTTTCAAAATCACCAACAGAGGGTTTCCATGGTAACACAAAACCTTATGGTTCCACCTGGCTGGATGACATCGTTCTATAGAACTCCATTAGAATCTTGTTACCATGGAAACGGGTTCTATGTGATGTCATATTTAGATTTCCCAAAAAGTCTTCCTAGCGGCTGCCAAGGCTCTGAGAATTTGACTTTGACTTTGGAGTCAGAGTTACTTCGAGAGTCCTCTGCAACAGCAGATGGACTGGCTCTGAAACCGCCGTAGAAAGGTGTTCGTTTGTTTTTCACAATGGCAGGAATGAACAACAAGGACACTTCCCTTTATAGAGAAATGCTGCAGGAGATTGAGGACGCCAAGACAGGGCCAGCGCATCCGAAACACCCAGCATGCAAGATATACTCCACTCAGAGATCGCCTGACGAGCCCATCAGTGGAAACAAGTCCACCCTGGAGGATCTGCCCTTAGTGAAAGGGGACGATATAAAGTGTCTTCTCACATCCTTCTGGGAGAACCTGCAAGCTGAAGACGTCAGTGAGCAGAAGGCCAAGGCCAAGATGGAGGACATGTTTAAGGAGCTGATTTGTGTGTCGGCCAATGAGGTCCTCGGGGCGTTAGTGACCAGGAAGAGTCTGTATGAATGTTCCCCTGGTAAGGTTCAGGTGTCGCAGACAGGAGTCAAAGGTTCACTCAGCCCCGTCTTTAGAACCTTCATCAAAACTCCGTCTACAGAAGAGTTCATCGCTCTGGACAGAGTCATAAAACTCCTCAGTACAGAAGTGGCTCTCACGGTCAACTCTGTGCTGAAGGACAACTGTGGCTTTGAGCGTGTTCTGCTGGTGGAGGAGAAGGACTATTCCACACCACGGAGAACCCTGCGCCACATCGCTGCTAATGCACCAATGTTCCTGCCACACATGGACCTTCTCAGACCAATGGGAAAAACTTCTTGAGGCCGAGATTTCTAAAGGTCTCACTGAAAACGAACTGAAAAGTGGGGTGCTGGACTCTGAGAACAAAGAGACTGAAGTCTCTGCCTCAGAACAGGAGAGAGTGATGTCTGAGTTCAGTGAGAGAAACCCTTCTCCTGGTCGACTTCATGTCTCTGCAGAACCTCTGATGGAGCAGATGGAAGAGAAGCAGGAGAAGTGTGACATTCTTTCACTTGGAGAACTCATGTTCCAGTTCAATTCCCCTGGTGTCCCCCACGATGAGACTGAAACTCAGCTTAAAACTGAGCAGACCTCGTCTTGTGAACCGGCAAAGAACCAGGAACCAGCCCCTCAGAGCTGCTTGAACCAGGAACCAGCTCCTCAGAGCTGCTTGAACAAGGAACCAGCTCCTCAGAGCTGCTTGAACCAGGAACCAGCTCCTCAGAGCTGCTTGAACCAGGAACCAGCTCCTCAGAGCTGCTTGAACAAGGAACCAGCTCCTCAGAGCTCCTTGACTAAACCTGGCCCTAAGAAGAAGAGGAAGCAGAAACCAGCCAAGAATCTGCAGGGTGGGCTTGAAGAGCCAAAGACCCCGATAAAAAGCTTTTCCACAAGCGAACGAGGAAAGTCTCCCCCAATTGCGCCTGCACAGGCCAGTTTATCCAGCACCGAGACTCAGCAGGTGAAAACCATCAAAGGCCAAGGCTCTGAGAATTTGATTTCATATTTATCAACTAGTTTTATTGGGTGAAATAACTTTATCTTTATTGACCCTGAGCTTGGGTTAACATTGACTCAGATTTATATTTTTTAGCCCTGTTTTGAGTGTGTGATGTACCTAAGTATTTTTCTTGTCTCGCCCCGTCACAAACCTTGGATCAGCTTTTTTAGACTGAGAAGATATATATATTAAATCGTTAGATACACTATCGTTTTCTATCGGATATGCAAATATGTGTGAGTTTGTGAAGAAAGGATTCTGTGGTGTGGTGAGTCTGTAGCTGTGTTTTAGCAGAGACAGGAAATGGCCTTAACAACTATAATATTGTATAATTCAAAACATAGAGAGAAATGAAGTCACTCCCATAGTCCTTTCTGCCTCTGGTGCACACTGGGGCAGTCTTGCACAGTTGGTCTAATGTGGTTTTACTGCAAATGGCAAATAAATACTTGAAGCTTCTATGGCCATTTCATAATTTAATCAGTCACAATGAAAAGGAAGAAAGGTATTGATTATTTGATGGAGTTGAGAGAGATTGGCCTGAGGCTGCCGTCTGTAGGGGGCAGTGTGGAGCACGACACATTCAGAATTCAGTGAGTCATGGTTCTGCTTTCAACACTGACCGATGCCGTTTTACAGTAAATACACATACACACAAACTTAAACACACAAATACATATACAATACATTTTTCTTATCTAAAATGCTGTATATGAAACATTATATGTGTTTATTATTCAATATCTATATTTAGGCACTGGACAGGGTTTTATTAATATTATATCTATAATTATTCACTTTGTCCATTGATTCATTTTCAATTGCAACAGCTTTCAAAATCACCAACAGAGGGTTTCCATGGTAACACAAAACCTTATGGTTCCACCTGGCTGGATGACATCGTTCTATAGAACTCCATTAGAGATTGAGCAAGATATACTCCACTCAGAGATCACCTGACGAGCCCATCAGTGGAAACAAGTCCACCCTGGAGGATCTGCCCTTAGTGAAAGGGGACGATATAAAGTGTCTTCTCACATCCTTCTGGGAGAACCTGCAAGCTGAAGACGTCAGTGAGCAGAAGACCAAGGCCAAGATGGAGCACATGTTCAAGGACCTGATCTGTGTGTCGGCCAATGAGGTCCTCAGGGCGTTAGTGACCAGGAAGAGTCTGTATGAATGTTCCCCTGGTAAGGTTCAGGTGTCGCAGACAGGAGTCAAAGGTTCACTCAGCCCCGTCTTTAGAACCTTCATCAAAACTCCGTCTACAGAAGAGTTCATCGCTCTGGACAGAGTCATAAAACTCCTCAGTACAGAAGTGGCTCTCACGGTCAACTCTGTGCTGAAGGACAACTGTGGCTTTGAGCGTGTTTCTGCTGGTGGAGGAGAAGGACTATTCCACACCACGGAGAACCCTGCGCCACATCGCTGCTAATGCACCAATGTTCCTGCCACACATGACCTTCTCAGACCAATGGGAAAAACTTCTTGAGGCCGAGATTTCTAAAGGTCTCACTGAAAACGAACTGAAAAGTGGGGTGCTGGACTCTGAGAACAAAGAGACTGAAGTCTCTGCCTCAGAACAGGAGAGAGTGATGTCTGAGTTCAGTGAGAGAAACCCTTCTCCTGGTCGACTTCATGTCTCTGCAGAACCTCTGATGGAGCAGATGGAAGAGAAGCAGGAGAAGTGTGACATTCTTTCACTTGGAGAACTCATGTTCCAGTTCAATTCCCCTGGTGTCCCCCACGATGAGACTGAAACTCAGCTTAAAACTGAGCAGACCTCGTCTTGTGAACCGGCAAAGAACCAGGAACCAGCCCCTCAGAGCTGCTTGAACCAGGAACCAGCTCCTCAGAGCTGCTTGAACAAGGAACCAGCTCCTCAGAGCTGCTTGAACCAGGAACCAGCTCCTCAGAGCTGCTTGAACAAGGAACCAGCTCCTCAGAGCTGCTTGAACCAAGAACCAGCTCCTCAGAGCTCCTTGACTAAACCTGGCCCTAAGAAGAAGAGGAAGCAGAAACCAGCCAAGAATCTGCAGGGTGGGCTTGAAGAGCCAAAGACCCCGATAAAAAGCTTTTCCACAAGCGAACGAGGAAAGTCTCCCCCAATTGCGCCTGCACAGGCCAGTTTATCCAGCACCGAGACTCAGCAGGTGAAAACCATCAGAAACAACTTACCCTCTGATGAACGAGAGAGGTCTACTCCCATAGTTATCAGATACAGCTCACCCTCTGATGAACAAGAGAGGTCTACTCCCATAAAAATCAGAAACAACTTACCCTCTGATAAACGAGAGAGGTCTTCTCCCATAAAAATCAGATTCAGCTTACCCTCTGATGAACAAGAGAGGTCTACTCCCATAAAAATCAGATACAGCTTACCCTCTGAGGAACAAGAGAGGTCTACTCCCATAAAAATCAGATACAGCTTACCCTCTGATAAACGAGAGAGGTCTTCTCCCATAAAAATCAGATACAGCTTACCCTCTGACGAACGAGAGAGGTCTCCCCCCATAGCCATCAGATACAGCTTACCCTCTGACGAACGAGAGAGGTCTCCCCCCATAGCCATCAGATACAGCTTACCCTCTGACGAACGAGAGAGGTCTCCCCCCATAGCCATCAGATACAGCTTTCCCTCTGATGCCCCCTTCATGCCTCTGCACCTGATCCCAGACCAGGGCTCGACTAAGATCATACAGAACCGTGAGATCTCCTCTCAGTGGGACACCACTCACATCCACAATTTAGCGTGGGAGGTTTCCCGACATATTCTCCAAGAAAAATACCTGTTTGTGGCGCATCCTCTGGTTATGAAGCTGTGTCAGCAACTAGAGGAACAGATGTTGGAATGGAATGTGAAGGAGAGTCCGAATCACAACAAAAAAATTGCTTGTGACATTTACAGAGACCTGTGCTCAAAGAAAAGGAATAAATTGATGAACTTTTCTGCACTGGTCACAGAAGATGAAAGCGACACCATCATCACAGAGATCCACAACCATCTGGTTCGACCAAAGAAGAGCAGCAAGCTGTACTCCTTCTTCCAGTCCATCCGCCATGCTCTGTGCAGACACTGTTAAGCTCCACTCACACTTCTGCAGTAAATAACATCCATTAACTTCTTCTAAAACCTTAAACCTGCTTCTTCTCAGAGTCAAACGATCTCGATTTGATTCAGAGAAACAGATGAAGGGTTGATGAAGATGTTAGGAAATTCAACTTTGTTGATGTTTCTGAAAAGTAACTTTACTTTATAGAAAATTCAGCCCTTTTCAGCCAAAGGTCATAAAGCACTTTACAGGTTTCGGTAAAGTTATGTATGGCATCTTTGGTGAACGTTGAATTCACACAATTTTCTTCAACAGCTCCACGTCTTTGGAAACGATTCTCCAATGAAGTGGAAACAAACTAAACTGCAGAAGTTTAGGCAAAGAGAGACTTAAGCATTACTAAATAAAGACAAAAAAATCATAATTGTACTGTGTGGACATCTTTTTATATAAATGGCATAGTCTCAAATTCAGCTCACAAAAGAGACGAAAAACAAGTCCAATATTGTTCAAATTTGTTAAAAACTATTTTAATTCAAGCCCATTTTGACTGCCTCAAAACAAGATTTGCCAATGGGACAAAGAGCAAAATGATCTTGTTTTAAAAATACATTAATTGTCTTTCTTGGAATAGGAAAATAAAGCAACAGTTCTTGAAATAAGACTAAGGGCACAGTCACATAGGGTTTTTACAAACGAACTGGGCCAAGTGGCCCAGATCGTCACCACAGGGAGTGGAAACGGCCCGCGGTCACATGAACGTGTAGTGCAACACTCGGTCCAGCTGGTGGCGCTAATACTAACTCTAGCAACGACCTCATTGTCCGAGTTAAGTTTCCGTTTCTCTTCCTGTTTACGCTCTGCCACTGTAGCTAACAGCTACGGTAGCTAACACCTAGGACACGAGTGCACACACACACACACACTCTTTAGTAACGAGCGTAAGAGCGCTGAGAAATGAATGAATGAGAATGAAAGTGCGGCGAACGAGCAGAGCGAACGGAGACAGGTAGGGGTGTGTGTGTGTGTGTGTGTGCGTGTGTGTGCGTGTGTGTGTGTGTGTTGGTATGAGCAGTTGCCACAACTGTACACGCCAAAGAAAAAGAGTATTTTGACTCGAAATGAGTACATTTGAGATCAGTGGTGAACTGAGTACTTTTTCTGATTTTAAAAATAGCAGTATATAAAAATGTGGCCAAAAGTGGTACTGCAGCCTCTCCCACTCTCTCTGACTCAGGTTGCCAGATATGCAGACGAATCCAGCTGGGACCATAACAGCTGAATAGACAAGAGTTTTGTCAACAACAAATCTATAACCAACACCTTTTTCACAAAGATAGAAATCCTGGTTTTATTCCTTGTTTTGTCGTTAATGATTTGAGAATCTTAACGAGACCTTTTTTAGTTCTGCGCCACATGGTACTTTACCAGTGAGATTAGCTCCACGCGGTGAGTTCTGGCGCCCGGATCACAGACTTTCTGATTGGTGAAACGGTGGAGGGCGGGACATCGAAATTAAAACAATAACAAGATTTAGAGGCTGGAAAAGTAATTTAGAAATTCAAATATCTCTGAACTATTGTTATCAGTTAACCCTCTATGCACATGGTTCATTTTGGGGAACTTTCCTCGCCTGGTTTTCTTTGTGTATAATTGTTCATAAAACAGTCATCTTTTGATGCAGAGTCAAGCAGTATACTTTGTTTTTTTTCAGTACAACCTGGGGTTTTAGAATATTCATATTGTAAAGCTGTCATATGAATTATATAAAAATTGTGGAATCATGAGGACAAAGAAAAAAATCAAACGGAAAATCAATTTAACAAAAATGTATTGAAAAAACACAATGAAATGCTATAAACAACTTTTTACACTGCATAGAAATGTTATTTATGGTCTTGGGGATACTGGGGAAAAAAATTGAATCTCTAACTATTATACTTTTTACAAAATTCCACTATAAAAGCAAAAAACTCTGTACTCCTGATGCCCTTCCTGAAGCAGTTTGTCTATAATGCTGGGGTTGCTTCTGTAGTACAGCTGTAAAAAACGTAAAACATAAGAAACTGAGCCAAAAAAAAAAAAAACATCAATTATTTATATAATACATATATTTATATACATCATATACACATAATGTCATTTTACTGTATTTATTATCGTCTTTATCAATAATGCGCACTCTTCAGCCGGTTATTGCAATCGCAGCTGTAGTTTCAACTGTGGGAGAACAAGGAAACGCAGAGGAGTGAGACATCTCACTCTCTGACGATCTTTGGCAGTCCCCGTGTGTTTGTATCTCACAGCTGTTTGTACCTCACGGGTCACGCTTTGGACACGGACTTTCAGACAAACGTAGTTTATCCTCCGTGCATCGCACAGACAAATCAAAACTAGTTTCGGAAAGCCCTGAATACGTACTTCACAGAGGAAAAAAAAGTTGCTACATTTTACGGTTCGCGAGTAAATTGATCATTTGTAAAACATGTGCGCGTGCATCGGTGCCGATGCACGCGGGCATATAGGGTTAAAGAAGTATTGGAAAAGAACAGGTTTTATTACTGTGTCAGATCAGGGCCCTTTAATGATGACAGATTAGGGCCCTTTAATGATGACAGATTAGGGCCCTTTAATGATGACAGATTAGGGCCCTTTAATGATGACAGATTAGGGCCCTTTAATGATGACAGATTAGGACCCTTTAATGATGACAGATTAGGGCACTTTAATGATGACAGATTAGGGGACTTTAATGATGACAGATTAGGGCACTTTAATGATGACAGATTAGGGCCCTTTAATGATGACAGATTAGGGGACTTTAATGATGACAGATTAGGGCCCTTTAATGATGACTGATTAGGGCCCTTTAATGATGACAGATTAGGGCACTTTAATGATGACAGATTAGGGCCACTTTAATGATGACAGATTAGGGCCCTTTAATGATGACAGATTAGGGGACTTTAATGATGACAGATTAGGGCCCTTTAATGATGACTGATTAGGGCCCTTTAATGATGACAGATTAGGGCACTTTAATGATGACAGATTAGGGCCCTTTAATGATGACAGATTAGGGACCCTTTAATGATGACAGATTAGGGCACTTTAATGATGACAGATTAGGGCACTTTAATGATGACAGATTAGGGCACTTTAATGATGACAGATTAGGGCCCTTTAATGATGACAGATTAGGGACTTTAATGATGACAGATTAGGGCCCTTTAATGATGACTGATTAGGGCCCTTTAATGATGACAGATTAGGGCACTTTAATGATGACAGATTAGGGCACTTTAATGATGACAGATTAGGGCCCTTTAATGATGACAGATTAGGGGACTTTAATGATGACAGATTAGGGCCCTTTAATGATGACAGATTAGGGGACTTTAATGATGACAGATTAGGGCCCTTTAATGATGACTGATTAGGGCCCTTTAATGATGACAGATTAGGGCACTTTAATGATGACAGATTAGGGCACTTTAATGATGACAGATTAGGGCCCTTTAATGATGACAGATTAGGGCACTTTAATGATGACAGATTAGGGCCCTTTAATGATGACAGATTAGGGCCCTTTAATGATGACAGATTAGGGCCCTTTAATGATGACAGATTAGGGCCTTTAATGATGACAGATTAGGGCACTTTAATGATGACAGATTAGGGCACTTTAATGATGACAGATTAGGGCCCTTTAATGATGACAGATTAGGGGACTTTAATGATGACAGATTAGGGCACTTTAATGATGACAGATTAGGGCACTTTAATGATGACAGATTAGGGCCCTTTAATGATGACAGATTAGGGCCCTTTAATGATGACAGATTAGGGCCCTTTAATGATGACAGATTAGGGCCCTTTAATGATGACAGATTAGGGCACTTTAATGATGACAGATTAGGGCACTTTAATGATGACAGATTAGGGCACTTTAATGATGACAGATTAGGGCCCTTTAATGATGACAGATTAGGGGACTTTAATGATGACAGATTAGGGCCCTTTAATGATGACTGATTAGGGGACTTTAATGATGACAGATTAGGGCACTTTAATGATGACAGATTAGGGCCCTTTAATGATGACAGATTAGGGCACTTTAATGATGACAGATTAGGGCCCTTTAATGATGACAGATTAGGGGACTTTAATGATGACAGATTAGGGCACTTTAATGATGACAGATTAGGGCACTTTAATGATGACAGATTAGGGCCCTTTAATGATGACAGATTAGGGCCCTTTAATGATGACAGATTAGGGCCCTTTAATGATGACAGATTAGGGCCCTTTAATGATGACAGATTAGGGCCCTTTAATGATGACAGATTAGGGCACTTTAATGATGACAGATTAGGGCCCTTTAATGATGACAGATTAGGGCACATCCATAAATGCTAATCAAAATAACTTGAATAAATATTTTACTTTTATGAACAAAAAGCTGCAGAAGTTGAAAACATAGACTACATGTGATGCAATCATTGATAAAAATGCTAATTAAACCGTTAATAGGTGTTAGCATTTATGGATATTACAATGTACATTGTGGTAAATAAATCTAAGGCAACCAAAGTGAGACTGGCATAATGTAAACACGAATATTAGCCTTGTTAGCATGTTTTATGATATCAAGTAGAGTTAGCTAACGTGCCCAACACTAATTAGCTTGAATCTCACAAATAAGGCTAAAAGGTTAAAAGAGTTGCACACTATTATGTACAAAACTGATGAAAATATGTTTATACGTTGTTCAGATGACAGTGAAACCTCCTACAGATTCAGCCCAGACTGCTGCTGCTGCTGCTGTGAGAGGTCCTTCTCCTACGTCATCGCCGCCATTTTGGCGCCCCCTAGCGTTTCTATGCGGAAGTGAAAAGGTGCCACTTCAAAGCCGTTTTTTAACATAATTCATCTGAACATATCAAAATGAACACCCGAAATATTATAAACACATATTGTAGTTATATACTCTGGATAGCAGCATATTAAATTCTAGTACTACTTTAAGT